GAAAACACAAAAACAAAATAGGTAAAATGGTGAATTAATAAATAAAGTTGGAATTAATTGTTTAGAATTAAATATGTGGGTGTGTGAATAATAATAGTTAAATAAACATTCCGGAAATTCCGGAAAAATACATTAGAAACACAAAACAGTAAATAAAATTATATAAATCTCGGGGGTGAAGAATATTCGTATTAAATAAAAGTTAAATAAATTTTCCGGAAAATACATATTAGTAATTAGAAACACAAAATTGTAAATAGAATTATAATAAACTTACCGGAAAATACATAAACGTTAGTATTTAATATACAGAAAAAACACAAAATTCTGAAGAATAATTTCGGAAAGAATTGTGTTTCATCAGAAAATGTCCGGAATCTAAATTATAATTTCTTTTCCGGAAATTTTAATAAAATACACAAAAATACAAGTAATATTTTAATAAAAAAGTAAAACATTAAAAAAATAAAAAATATTTTAAATTTTCAAGATATTTTGTATCCATTTATGGATAAAAGTAAAATTAAGGTAAAACACTCAAAATCCTCTTAAGTATTAGATAAATAAAAATTAAAAATAAAAAATTTTTTTAAATGTTATTTATCCTGCTACGAAAAATAAACTTTGTGAAAAAATACAAAAAAAATACAAAGAATATACAAGAAAAAATACAAAATTTTCTAAAAAATAATTCATATAATAAGTTTTAATGCTAGATTTCTTTTATCGGGCCGAAGTCTGTGAAAAAAAAACTTGAATAGAAAAGAGGTGCGTGCTTATTAAAATATATTTTTTCAGCTGATTTATTTTTTCAAGGTTGCGCAATTTAATAAGTAGAAAAGAGATTTTAAAGGTTTAAATTATAAGTAAATAAAAGACGAAAATAAAAGAATTTTAAGAAAAAGTTGAAGTTTAACTCAAAAACTAAATCTATATATCCCCGTTTCTTCTAATATTAAAATTAAACCTTCCCTTAATCTTATTAACTGATCTATGCCGAGCATTTTAAGAATTTTGAAAGGATTTTGAAAGCCAGATTTCTTCTTTTTATTGAAAAAAGTCATATTACATGTCAGGTTTCAGATAATTTCTCTGGCCGAGTTTCGGAGTTCGCGTCAAGAAAAGACTAGGTTCGGGTAAACCGTGATATTCCTGATATGTATAGAAATGATTAAACAAAAAATTAATTTTTGCTTAGGCCAACTTTAAAAGATGCAGGATCAATTTAAAAGATTATTTGTGAAATGAAAAAAAATATTGGAAAACTAAAAATAAAAAAATATATAAAAATAACTTTTTAAAAAAAGCAGAGAGAGAAAATCATCATCCCCTTTCCCCCTCTACCTTCCCCCTTTATTTTTCTAAAAAAATTCAGTCCATTTATTTATCCATTATTTGCACAATAATTGTTTAAAAAAAATAAAGTGTTGTATTTTGTGTGCAAGATAAGAGGAGAGGGGGGAGAGGGGATATCTCGCGCAAAAACACATTTTTATTTACTAAAAAGAGAAAGAAAAAATAATTTTTTTTGTTATTTGGGGTTAATATTTAGTGTTCCTTTAAATATTTTTTTGTTTCACTAATTAATTAAATTAATTTTTAAATTTATTTCAGAAAATATTTTTTGATAATTTTTGAAAATTATTTTTATTTTTAACTCAGAAATTAAAAAACAAATACCGTAAATGCTCTAATAGAACCACACTCCCTATTTGAAGCAACCATACGAGAGAATCGAAAAATAGAAGCACCTGTGGTTCTATTAGAGCATTTACGGTAAATGGAAAAATAGTTATAATCGGACCTCAAATATGGAGACACCCTTGGAGTAAAAAAACGCTCCTTATATTAAGCGTACTTGACTTAAAAGGTATAAACTTCTACTTTATAACGAGATTTATTCGTTCATTTCCAAAATAAATTACCGTAAATGCTCTAATTAAGGCCTCGGGCGTCTATATTAGATATGGGCGTTTATTTTTCAATAGGCCTCCTTGGGTGGGCTTGTATTAGATATGGGCTTCTAATAGAGCCGGGCTTTAATTAGAGCATTTAGGGTATTTATTATATGTACCTCCTTTTAAGTTTTTTCGTATTTTTTGAATGTGTAAACAATTAAATTTTCCAAAAAAATTTCTCAAATTTTTATGAAAATAAAAGCTTTTAGCATTAAGAATATTTTGAAATGTTCAAAGATGAGTAACCTCTCTCTTTAAATATTTTCTCTTTTTAAAATTTCTTTCATGCTCCAATGAGGTTGCCTACGGCAGCAAAATTTAAGAAAAAAATATTTTTTATTTTTAATGTTTTAATGTATTTCTCGAAAATTGAAAGAAGAAAATGATGATTAATTGTTTTTAATAAAAAAAAATATTTTTTAACATGAAATGATTGGAAAATATAAATAATGATAAAAATAGATTTTTAAAGTAAAAGGCTGTCAAAAGAGAGTTAATTTGGAATTTAAACTTTATCTCGGTTAAAATTTTGAATTGATTGAATAAGGTTAAAGGAAATCGAACAGATATCGGCATTGGACATGAGAAAGTTCAACCAGATATTTGGTAAAAACGACAAGAGGTGTCAAAAATTCAAAAATAAAATTTTTGTAAGTGAAAATAGGCAAAAATATAGTATAAGAAAATCGGGTACACTCCAACTTACATACAGCAAGCCCAGAGCTTCGTTCTATGACTTCGTTCAAGATGGTCGAATCCGGGACTACCTGGTATGGTTCGATTCAGCTAGTCGAGGCGCATCGAAACATACCAGGTCGTCCAGAATTCGACAATTCTGAACGAAGTTATAGCCTCGGCAGTAGGTTGCACCCAAGAAAGTCAACGACCAATTTCCGTTAAATGACAATTATAAGCAAGACAATAGTAACAACTCCTTGGCCCCAAAATATTTTTAATTAAAATATACCATTTACTGTTCCTTTCTCTCTATAACTATTAAACCCCCAAAATATTCCAATAAATATTTTTAACTCTTTCACAGATGTCAAAATACACCCAAATATTACCACCATCAATTCTCCCCCAAATAGATGCGCAATAATTTATGAAAACGGAAATATTCTTTACTATTTCCCTTTAATTCTCTTTAAAAAATATTTAAATAATGAACATTAATTTTATTGAAAAATGAGGGAAATAAAGCTGGCTAAATAATTTTATGGGAAAGAATAGAAAAAGGAACGACTTTTGGGCGTATAAGGTTGGGTGGGCGTAAGTTTATAAAAGGCTTTAAAAAATTCCAGGAGACCTAAAGTTTTACAAAGATATCCTCAACAATGTTAACTAACATCTCTAAAAATTTCAGAACTTTTGGTTCAAAATTTCAGAATTTTCGGCAGAAAAGGCACAGTTTTCTCATCTTTTTCCCTATAGATTCTGAAATATTTAACCGAAAATTCTGAAATTTTCAGAATTTTTGGTTAACAATGTTGGGGAGTTCCTCACTAAATTTTTGTCTTCTGGAAAGATATTGTGAAATTTTATAAGCCGGCGCCCTGCGCACTAACTACACTAACAATCAGCTTTCTTGGCCTACACAAAAGGCTTTCTTTCTCTTTCGAAAATTAAACAAAACCAATATGCATTTTAAAAAGATTTTTGGGGTTGACATTAATAAAAAGAATAAATTTTGAAAACCAAAATTAAATACAGCCACTTAATCTTATTTTTCTTCTTTTTATGAAAAAAGATTGCCAGTCAGATAAGAAAGAAATATTTACTATATCTTAATTTTCCCTTATTTTTTATTCTCAATTTTTAATTTAGAAAATAAAAACAAAATTATGAAAGAGGTTTTTAATGTAAAAAACGCCAACAAAATTAACGCATTATTTAAAGTTTATATTTTGAGGGGAAAAAGTATGCCAAATTTTGGGACTTTGGAGGGCCATATCTTGGCAAGATCAAAAAAAGGGCAAAAGCGGCTCAAAATCCTTGCTAGAAAGGGCACATTCTCTATCGAATGAGCCCAGTCTCGGCCGTTTTTAAGTCGGACACCTCGTAACCTTTCCTTGTTAATAAAAACAAAACAAATTTTTACAAACATTTTATCAACACTTTTTATTTAAAAAATATAATATTTAATATGTATCGAAAAAAAGGAAGTGTATTTAAAATAAAAAAGTTGATTAAGAATTATAGAAATTATTAATTTGTTTATGACATTCTTTGAAGTTTGTGGAGTAATTTGAAGATTTTTTTAGAACTTTATAAATAAAAATATGGAAGCAGGATAGGAGGGGTCTTAGAATTAAGAAGGTGTAGCTTAAAGTTAAGGTGCTCAAATTTCCAAGGTGGGAAGAAAAGTAGTAAGTGAAAAGAAAACTGAAACCTTTAATAAAAAATTTTCAAGCCTGGCTTCCCCTAAGTTTTCAATTTAAAAAATAAACATTTCGCCAAAACAAATTTTTTTTAATTTTTTACCATATCATATCCTCACAAATAAAATATTTTTTTTCTTAAAAAGGCACAAAATATTTAAATAAAATATATTTATGGAAAACAAGAAAATAATACATTTATTAATTTTTTAGTTAAAAGAGAATTTATATATTAAGATTGACTGGATAGGAAAGGTGGTCAATATGTTTTTTTGTTTAGATTACTATTATTTTAGTTTAAAGGGGGAAAACAAAGAAATTTTTGTGTGTATTTTTTTATCAAATTTAATTTTTAAATTATTCATTTTCCAAATTTCCAATAAAAAAAACAAAATGCCAAAAAATTTCCAACCAAAAAAATTCTTAATTAATTTTTATATTAATTAACAAAAATAATTAACTCACAAAAATACACAGAAAAAGAAACAAAAACACACACAATTAATTAATTTAAATAAAAAAACAAGTTACCAAATATATATCAGTCCCTCACACTCCCAACAATAAAAAAATCCCAACATTTTTTTTACCAAAAAAATTTTTTTAGATTTTTTCCCTTCCCTCTTTTTTAAAAAAAAATTAATTTTTTCCTTTTCTTCTTTTAACGTTGTTTACCCCAACAAGCCTGCCCTCCAAGCGGTGCTACTGGCTTTTGAACGGTTGATGTTGGTGCAGGACCATTCCCAATAGTTGGAAATTGTTCAAGAGAGTCAAGTTGCCACGGAGCTCCAGTTATCTCAACATTTTGGTTATCTTGTTTTGAAGGTGGTGGTGAAGGTTCACGACGAGTATGTTGCTGGGAACGAAGAACAAATTCGCTGAGAAAGTCCTGAAAATAAAAGAGAATAAATTAACTGAAAAAAGAAACGGTTGTTTAATGATTGACCTAAAGGTAGGAAACGGAAATTTAAAAAAAAATTTCCTAAACAAAAAATGCTAATGTTTTCTGGTTGAAGGGGAAACGAAAGATTGTATGTTTCCTTCGTTCAATAATTTTTGGAAAAGGAGGCCTTGGAAGTGAAACATAGGATCAAATATTATTCTGATGTAAGCATCACTTAGATTACTAAATTTTATATCAATACAGCCTCTTGTGGGAGAGAATTCCATACTCAAGTAGAGAAAACTTTTTTGTAAACTAACCAATTCTTCGATAATCGCAAATATTTTCTCCTTTGCAGCCTCAACATGTTCTTTTTTGCCTCGAAGGATAACCAACGCTTCACCACTGTCTTGTTTTGGGAAAGATATTTGGCAGTTTCCACATGCAGTTTGAATCTCGCGAAGAACTTTGGCTCCACGAGAGATGAAGTGACGATGGTGTTTTGGGTCAATATCAAGTTCTTCTTGAACCAATGAATCCTTTAAAATTAAAAAAATTTTAACTAGCTAATTCGGTCGAGGGGAAACAACCAAGATATCGTTCTCACTGTGAATCAAGGGAAATTTTCAAAAAATTATTTTCAGGATAAAATCGATCCTAACACTCTTAACTGTATCAGAAGTCATCTAATGGACAACAACATTTTTTAAATCGCATTATAAATTGATTGTCATTAGCGGTCAACTGCAATTGTTCATGCTACATATTCCTCTATCTAACCATAAACCATAATCAAAATAAAATTTTTTACCAATTCCTCAACAATTGCCAAAATACGCTTCTTTGCAGCCTCAACATGATCTTTATGTCCACGTAAAACAACTGTCGATTCACCAGTCTCTTGTTTTGGAAAAGATATTTGGATATTGCCACATTTGTTTTGAATATCGCGAAGAACTTTAGCACTACGAAGAATAAAGTGACGATGATGTTTAGGGTCAACTTCAAGTTGTTCTTGAACCAAAGAGTCCTTTAAAAAATTTTTTTTAATAATTTAGAAACAAGAAAAGCGAGTGTTTAAGTCTCTTATTCCAAAATTTTCGAAAAAACCTAGGATGGAACTGCGTTCTTGACTTTAACGGCTTTGATATTTCTATTAATGGGCAATTCAGAAAGACACGTCTTACATCCCAACACCTTTAAAATCCCTAAAAAATACCAATTCTTCAACAATTGCCAAAATACGTTTCTTCGCAGCCTCAACATGGTCTTTATGTCCACGTAGAACAACTGTCGATTCACCAGTCTCTTGTTTTGGGAACGAAATTTGGATATTGCCACAATTGGATTGAATATCACGAAGTACTTCTGCCCCGCGAAGAATGAAGTGACGATGGTGTTTAGGGTCGACATCGAGTTGAGTAGTTGTATATGCTTCCTATAAGTTGTAAGATTTTTAACATAAAAAATAGCAAAAGTAACTAAACTAGAATTGAAACAAAAAGGAAAACTTTCAAATTAGGAAGGAGAAATAAGTAAAGATTCACTTAATTATGTCAATGCGTAAACTGTCCGAAATTTAAAAAATCAAAGGGACGAAGGAACGAGCCAACATAAAAATAAAATTCCCGATTTTTGGGAATCGGGACGGCTCGTTCACTGGAATAGACCCAAGAGAAAGTCTAATTCAAAGAATATCTAAATGTAAGATTTCGGGCCCGTTGTTGTCAGGTTGATGCTTATGCTTTTACATCCTACTAGATTATATTAACCACACCCCAAACATATCCCGCATATTTGAGGTAAAATAGCAACTAATTTTCGAAAACTAACCAAATCTTCAACAATTGCCAAAATTCGTTTTTTAGCATTCTGAACATTTTCTTTAAAACCTCGAATAATAACAGTCGATTCACCGGTTTCTTGTTTTGGGAACGATATTTGACAATTTCCACATTGGGATTGAATATCACGAAGTACTTCAGCACCACGAACAATGAAGTGTCGATGATGTTTAGGGTCAACCTCGAGTTGTTCTCTAACTTCAACATCCTAAAAATTTGAGTATTCAAAAATTTTTACTTCAACCATCCTCCAAAAAGTAAATTAAGACCCTATTAAATTTTTGGAAAAATCCCGTCTTATCACAATATTTCGATTTGGACCATGTGTTTCGAAGTCCCTCCATAGTTTTCGATTTTCAGGGGCCATAATCTCGGCCCATAATTGAACAAAAAGTTAAGAAAAAGGCCCATAAATGAGTTGCAAAGCTTTTTTGGTGTGTTTTGGTTTTTTCACATAAAATCTCGGCGTCGTTCGATCTGCTCGCCGAGCTCCTTCGAATGACATATAAGAGTTTGTTTGAATCGGAGTATGGAGGATATGACATAATTCTACCAAACTTGCTTACATTTACCCAAATTAAAAATTATTTTAATAAAAACCGTTGGTTGTTCCATTTTAGATTTAACACCATTTTGAGTATTATTATTTTGAATATTATTATTTAAAGTTTGCGGTGGCTGTTGACGCTTTTGTTGTTTATCAACAAGATCAGCAATTTGTTCACGCACCTTTTCAACATTTTCTTTTTTGCCTTCTAACCGAATTAAGTCAGATTTTAAACTTTCATTAGGCACAAAAATTTGAACGTCAAAATCTTCTTTTAGCTTGTTTACTAAAAAATAAATTTAATAGAACAAAAAGTTAAGAAAAAGGAAGGACAAAAACATTGCCAAGCCATCCTGACATAAAAGAAAGATATTACTCAAAAAATTAAAGTTACGTAAAAAAAAATTTACGATTAATAGGACTTGAACCTTGAATCTATATAACTTTTAGATTTGGGACTAATAGCAAAAAAGCTAAAAATTTTGTAATGTTTAAAGAAAATTGTAAGATTTCACTCAAAGTTCGTAAGTGTTATTTTTAATTAAATCCTATGCTTGGGTTTAATGCTGTGCTTACTTAAAAGTTGTTTTGCGTTTTACGGCAGAGAATAGCATTCAAATCATGAGAGGCAATCGCGCGCGGTTTTCTCTCCTCTCTTTCCATTATCTTTTCTGGCGCAAAACGCGCACGATTTTCTATACAGCATAAGGGGTGTATTTTGTGCAATCTTTTTAATGATAGACTGAAAATACCCCAAAATAATTTCTTATAAAGAAAAAACAAACCAACAGATCCACTTTTTCCAATTATATGCCTATGCAAACTTGGAGCAACATGCATTACTTCAGAACAAAATTCATTTCCAAGACGAGTAATTTCCTTAGATAATTTTTGTTTTGCTTGCAAAACTTCTTCTGGTGGACCTTCGATATAAATTAAACCTTCTTCAAAGTCTAGACGCAAATTTTCTTGATGAGGAACCAAATTCTTAAAAAATCAAAATAAATGATAAAAAATTAAAAAAGAAACCTGAAGATTAGCCCCACGAGGGCCAATTAAATGACGACGCATCCATTCTTGGAAAGGAACCTCTGCTGCAATAATACTACTAGCACGTTGATAAACTGAAAAAATTAAAGTAAAATTTAGAGATCGTCAAAAAAACGCATATTCTAGATTTTGCTTTATTATACAAATGTGCAGCAGCATACCCTCTCTCACACAGTGTCTAAAAAAGTTCAGAAAGTCACTTAAAAGTCAAGTGGTCATTTAAAAATAGCATAGAAATAAGCCAGTAAAATCATTCTCTGCTGTTCTTTAAATGACCACTGGACTTTTTCTGGATTTTTGTTAGTCATGTGAGAGAAATCCAGAATAGGCGTTTTTTGACCGAGTTCAGGTGAAATTTATAGATTTTCAGGAGAAAAAACTTATTTTTTTAACTCAAAAATATTTCCCTCAACATTTAAAAAATTAAATTTAAACTGAAAAACAAACCCGCTCCAGCCGCATCTCCAATTTTATCTTTTGGCCCACGCAAAACAATTTTGTTAGAATCATTTTCCTCTGATGGCATTTCAACAATAGTTTCCGTTTCTCGAAATATTTCATCTAAACCTGTACGTTTACGACCAATAATGAACCTATGCTGAGCCTTTTTGACAGTAATCTCGAAAGAGACGACAGATTCTTTCTAGAAAATTTGAATTAAAAATTAAACGAAAAATTAATAAAAATTCCAGTATTTCATTAACATAGCCTCTTATTAGACTTTAAAGGGTAGTCACGAAAATAGATTCCACTCGTCAAATTAGAGTCCTATATTAAATTACAGCCCTACTATTAAAGGCGTAGCCAGGGGGCTGGAGGGGGCTCCAGCACCTCCATCCACTCGAAATGTGGTAAAGGAGGAAAAAAATTAGGAGAAGGATAATCTGAAAAGTGAATTTTTTCACCTACAACCTCCGAAATTCAAAAAATTCGTCCGGAGCGCCAAAGTAAACGCCAAAATTTTGGCGAATATCCAATGTTAGCCCCCCTTCCGCGAAAATCAACCCATTGGCTACGCCATTGCCCACTATTGAATGGTGAAAAAATAACGCTCCAGAGGTTATGTTACATATACTATGAGAAAAAATTCTGTTCTGACCCAAATGAGTCGATAACCTTTTTGTTCAATTTAAAAAAACCCCTTGGATGAAAAAATAAATTTCCAAACCTTCTCCTGGTAAATATGATTAATTTCCGCAACAGCCGCATCAACACCTTCACGTTCTCCACTAATAATAATTGTTTCATTATTCGCTTGGATAGGTGGAATATTTATTTTAACACCAGTTCGGTGTATTAAATCATCAACTAAAAAAAGTAATTTAAAATTTAATTTTATATTAAATTCACAAACGTTTTTCATTGTTCACTCCACGAATCCAAGGGTAAAAAGAACGCGGAATATTCAGATTTTCGGTCTTTTGTTTTGCCTAAAAAATGAGAAAATAAATTTTTTAAAAATATTGACAAAAGTAAAAAAAATTGAAAGACTTAATGGTGAATATTAAAACAGGAAAAAATCAGACTTGGTCATGGATACGGATACAGATAATACCAAAATGGCTGCGGATACCCGTCTGTATCGGCCGTAAATGTCCGGATACGGATACCAAGGGTAAAAAGAACGCGGAGTTTTGAGCTTTTGAAAAAGGACAGTCAGTATCCGTGACCAGGTCTGGAAAAAATAAAAGGAATATGTATGTAAATAACGAAAATATTAACAATAGCAGTGACCGTCTGTTGTATGATTTAAGGCAACAGATCTAAAAGGGAGGCTAACACTAAATAGATAAACAACAGAGCTGAGTACAATAGATCCGGGAATGAATCAGGGAATGAATTCGGAGTTCCTGGTTTTTGAAAGAGGACACGAAGATTATCTAGGATCCCCCAATTACTTCAAGAAGATTTTATAAATAACTGAAGAAAGTCAGTAAAGTAGAAAATTTTTTAAAAAAGGAATTGCAAGCCTGAGGAGACAGTCCTACTAATGTAAACAATAGTTGGTAATACTTCGGCTCGTATACCCCATCTTTTTCTTACCATTTTTTCATTTTTCTTCCCTTTCTCCCTTATTCTTCATGAAAAATAATTTTAAAAATAAAAAAAATTTTCGTGAAAGATAAGGGAGAAAGGAAGAAAAACGAAAAAATGGTCAGAAATAAGATTGGGTATACAAACCAAAGAATTACCCAATAGTTAAACTAAATTAAAAAAATAAACCATTTCATCTCCAATAGCCTTAATTTGTTTTGCCGCTTCAACAATAAACTCGTTTGGGCCAACAATACGAATGACGTCGCTTTTCTCTTCACGATTGGGCATATGAATTCGACAAAGGAATTTTTGTTCAAGTTGGTGTAATTTGGAGCCTTGTTTGCCTAAAAAATAATTTTAGAAAATTTAAAAATTAAAAAAAATAAACCAATAATAAAACTGTGATATTCCTTTGGAATTTCAAGCCGAACAGTTGCCTGTGTTTGAAGTTCACGAACTAGACCTTAAAAAGGAATTAAAAACAAAATCTCTTTTTTAAAATTACGAGTTCGGGCATCTTCAACATTCTTTTGTTTTCCAGTTATCAAAATCGTGATTGACTGATCCTTTGCCTCGTTGAGTTCAATTTTGGTGCCTGAAAATGAGGGAAAGATTACTTTTTTAGTGAAATGTGGAAATCTTGGAAGGACTGAAACTAACATGAAAAAGAAATCAAAAGTTTGAGAAACTCAAATCCAGAAAAACCTAGTCTTGAAAAATCAGGGCTCAGCTATCCTAAACTGTCAGCTGTAATCACCACTTTTTGGCTAAACAAAAAACCCCTCCGATCTAAACATGTTAGTTACGAGGAAAAAATAAATTCCTATAACAGAGACTAACTAGTCTATCGAAAATTAAATAATTTAGGAAAAAGGACATCAATGACCCTTGGCTTTTGAACTTGTCAATGAGGACCGAACTCCTATAAAAGAATAACAAATCCGCCGAGAACTAAATAATTAAGAAAGGACATCGACAAGTCTTGGCTTCTAACACGTCAATTACTTGAGTTGAGTCGATATTCCCACTTATTGTTAGAAACCCCCCAAACATTCTAAATAAACAAACCAGTTTTTTGCGCTATTTGATTGCATTTTTGTTGTTCCTCAGAAGCCGGTCCACCAAAAGGGCGTCCAATTCCACCATGAGAAGCACGTTCCTCAGCACTTAATTTAAACGCCTCGGTCACAACAGAAGATTTTATTGCCGGTTGAGCAGAGCCAGTCCAAGCACCAGAAGGGACGCTAGAACTTGTTGAAGTTGCTGAAGGAGCATCCGGAAGTTTGGGAAAGTCCACAGTGTAATCCAAAGTTTTTTTCTCGACAACAGACATTTTATCGGGTCAAAAAAGGGAAAAGCCAAAGCCGAATAGCCAATTTTTCCGAAGCTAAAAAAAATAAAAATTTGAAAGATTAAAAAAAGAAAAATCAATTATAGACACGATGTAGACAATTAAATTTTATGGAGGGAAAATTTGGGAGGAGGTTGGCATTTGCAGGGATATGGAGACAGAAACGTGGATGAAGATAAGAAAATATAATCGATGAGAAAGAGGAGATAAATACAAGGTAAAATTGGAAAATAATGGAAGACCGCAAAACGGTTCTGCCATCCAAGACAGAAACAGGAGACGAAACTTAATAGGAAAGGTTGCGAGGTGTTCGAGCTAAAAACGGTCGAGACCGGGCTCATTCGATAGAGAATGTGCCCTTTCTAGCAAGGATTTGGCCAGATCAAAAAACGGGAAACGGCTCAAAATCCCTGCTAGAAAGGGCACAGTCTCTATCGAATGAGCCCGGTCTCGACCGTTTTTAGCTCGAACACTTCGCAACCTTTCCTTGTTAAATCTCCTCCTTCCGAGGCAGAATTAAAAAAAATTTTTTAATAAATTTTAGAAAAATTAAAAATCCTTTTTCCGTTAAAAATTCTCCAAATCCACTAAATGACTGGCAGATAGGAATAATTCCACACAAAATTTAACGGAAGTTAATATCATTGAATTTATTGCTAGTCTGAGTAAACGGGTAAAAAAAATTAAATTATCGGACGTTAATTGATTGACGCATGCTTCCATGCAACCGATCGGGGTTATTAGAGTCCTAAAACTTGAAATAAAGTCAGGGTTTCAAAATTCATTTTTACAGGGGAAAACCAAAGAAATTGCTGAATTTTGTCTGAAAAATTGAAAAAAAAATTTCTGTAGAAAATAAAGTCAAACGGGACACGCCCAGTAGGCGCGCGGCCATAACGGCGCAAAGCCGTAACTTGCTGGAAAATTTCTGGCCCTTATCAATTTTGATACTAATCTCTTTAGCTCGATGAGAGGAATCGTTTAATACTAAATAAGGTAAGATATGGGAATCTTGAAGCAAGTTATCGCTTTGCGCCGTTATGGCTGCGCGCCTATTTGGGCTGTACCAAAGTCAAATAAATTAAAAATCAGGACGTTTGAGTGCCGAATGTTGAGTGTGTATAGAGCATTTCTTGTCTAAACAGCAACCATTCCGAAGGCATCGAATCTCTTTAAAGCTCCAGAAGGTGCCTATTATTTTTTCCAAGAAGATCCACTTAAACTACAAAAAGTTTTAAAGCCTTTGTACTCTTTTATACAGACACTAATTTCATGGAAAAACGAAAAATTAAAAAAAAAGTTTTGTAGTCTGATTACTGTAGTATTTTATAATTTAATTTTAAAACGAAAACATTTATTAATTCAGAGCAGTTGAGTATCCGTTTAAATTTGACTGTTAAAATTTCTTCGACATTTTTAAATAATTTTGCCATTTGGACATTATGAAATTTAGTCAAATTTATTCGTTTCGTTATTTTTCCGTTTATTGGCATTTTGTTGTATACTAAATAATTCCTATAGAATTAGAGAAATAATGATTGAAAGAGATATAGTTAAATTATATTTCCATCTTTGCCTTTATTTTTAAATAAAAGTCTAATTTTATATCACGGCTGAAATTTGCCGATACTTATTTCAAATATACTCTCATTTAGCTGTAGTCGTTGGTTAATTACCCAAGAAAAAGGTAGATATTAAGGCCTTGCCCTCGTGAGAGTGGCTTCTTGGGATAAATTTTGGAAATGCTTTGCCTTTGGTAAAGCTTAAATTAACGATGTCTTGTGGATTATATGGACTTGAATTGGAGGGGTTTTGTTGTTTCTAACGAAGATTGTTATGAGTTATGGGTCCAATGCTTTAGTTTTCTAAGTTGAGTGTAATCGTTATACACTGCGGTGCATATGTTTATGCACACTTGTTTTTTGTTCATAAGTTTATGCACACTTATTCAAAAAATAAGTTCTATATAGCAATCGAAAGCTCTATTTGTATCTCAGTTGACATGTTTCTGCATTTTTCGAAATTCTGATATTTTCGAAAAATTTTCGACCGGTCTAACAGGTACTACATTTTCAACTTTTCGGAAAAATTTTTTTGAAGTCTGTAAAAAATGTATGTGATTCTTCTCCAGATTCTACATAAAATACAAAAAATTCATCCAAATCGGTCGAGATTCGACCGAGTTATGAATTTTTGAAAATCGAAAAAACACTATATTTTTGCCATTTTTCGTCAAAAAATCGCTTTTTTTCGATTTTCAAAAAATCATATCTCCGTTCCGGAAAAAGATATTTCTAAGCGGTTTTGTGGTAAATACTCACAAAAATATGCTTTATCAAATGGGTTTGTTAAATTTTTTCCGAAAAATTTTTCCGAGTATATGGGATTTGGTATATCCGGTAGATCCGGATTATCTCGGCCAATTTTCATTTTCATGGAAAATGCAGAAACATGTCAACTGAGATACAAATAGAGCTTTCGATTGCTATATAGAACTTATTTTTTGAATAAGTGTGCATAAACTTATGAACAAAAAACAAGTGTGCATAAACATATGCACCGCAGTGTACAATTCCAGCAGGAATTCTTTACTTGTTTCGATTTTTAGAATTTTCAATCTTTTAGGGCTAATCCGAAGGTTAATGTTCCAAATTGTATGTTAATGATGTGTTCGAGTATATTGTTTCTGAGGTGGTTCTGTCTATCAAGCTGCATTTTCTGAAGGTACAGAAGCGATGTTAGAATATCAACATCGAGAACCTTGATACAAATGGCTCTACTTAGGGCCACTAATTTAATAAATGGAATAAGACAACAATATTTCTTGCTAAATTTTATGTATGTATGATTAGCTTTGTTCTTCGCTACAAGACCGTTAAACCCTAAAAACAAAAAATAAAAATCCCAAATAAAAAGAATGGTTAAAAAAAGACAGCGGATAACTGCACTCAACTGGTCGCGCTCAGTTGGCGGCTCTCAATTGGCCAAATTCATTATTTTATTTGTTTGTTAGAGAACGAGAAAGAAAACATAGATAATGGAGAGACACACAAACATTCTTAAAAGCCATTATTCCGAAAGCTTGTAATTTTTTATTTTTTACTTGTTTCGATTTTTAGAATTCTTTTATCGATAGGAATAACAACAGCTGTTTTATCAGTTAATTAAATCTACATGTTCTCTTTACATTGTTAGATAGCGATTTTTTGAAAATTTAGCTTAAAACAATTTTTTCCCTTTCTTTACAATTTTTAAATTCAAAAAAATCACAATAAATTTTTTCGAATTTAAAATTACGGCAAATTTTTTTAATGTTTTTAGGCAATAATTCAAATTAAATGACTGAAAATACTGATTCAACACCTTCTCAAAAACAGCAACAATATCATCGATATCCGCTTCGTGGGCATGCAACAAATCTTTATGTAAGGGAATTTTGTGAAGAATTTTGGGGAAGGAATTTCTGGAAGGAATTTGATAAAATCAATATTTTATCAAATGGGTGGTAAAACCCTATAGGGAATGTTAGCGGGATAATAGAGCAAGACTAGCTTGTTGATAGACACTCGTGTGTAACCGGAACGGATATTTTGACTGGAACCGGATCCAATTCGAGTTCCGGGAACCGGAACTTCCGGTGAACCAATTATTTTTTTCGTTTTGGAACAGGGCTGTGCGCCATGGCGTCTGGCGTTTGGGTGTTTTAAAATTTTTAAAAATTGGCGTTTGGCGCGCCACGCGAAAATTTTGGCGCACAGCCCTGGTTTGGAACTGAACGGAAAAACTTGCTTCGGATTACTCGACTTCGGATACCCTAACTTCTAAACGAAAGTTTATCCTGTCTCTAAGGTTACATAGATGCCCAGACTTACTACAAGTTTTAAAATATTTTGTTAAAAATCCGAAAGAGCTTAACATATCAGACTTTTCCTGCTTTTTTGGAGGGTTTCTATGATTTTTCGACTTTAGATTAAGTTTTAGACGAAGAACTTTAAAGTTTCTTTTCTTTGTCAAAGGTATTATTTCCACCGTACTCTTGTGTCTTTGGGGTTTTTTAGAATTGAAAAACCAAAAAAAAATTTTTTTAAGGGAGCAGGCCAGTGTACCGCGAGCCCAATGTACCGCCGAGCTATAACTTTGTTCAAAGTTGACTAATCCGTGGCGCCCTGGCATGGTTCGATTCAGCTGGTCGATCCGCATCGAACCATACCAGGGCGCCATGGATTCGACAATTCTGAACGAAATTATAGCCTCGGCGTACATTGGGCTCGCGGTACATCGGCGTGTACCCTTTTTTGAAATTTTTTTAAAATTTTTTATCATTTTATAGAGCGACACAGTTGTCGTCGTAGGAGGAGGTAATAACAGTCCTTCAGCTACCTACTACAACAACAATATCAATACAAATGTTACAAATACACTAAACACAAATAAACAAAAAATTAATGTAAAATTTCCTTCAAGCACAAATGTGGCTACAAAAAGTGGGGGAAACCAACGGGGAGGGCAACAATCTAGAACAGCAACATTCCAACAAGCTGGGGCTGTAGCAGATTTGTTATCAGCACAATTGAAGGCGGATTTGAGGAAATTGAAGGTAAAAACGCGGAGGATGTGGTTTTTAAATTTAAAGAAACTTTGGTGAAAATCCTATTATTTTTTTTGAAAAAGGAAGGCAAAAGGGATAGGGCGTTCTTTTTTTCTTTTAGTTTATTTTTGGTTTTTACTGGGTATCTCTGGATTCCATAAATAGTTTGTTTTTGTAATCAGAGGAAACCAGGCCCGTAGCCAGTGGGCGCCTTCGCCGCAGAAAAATTCCTCCACCCCCCTCCCTTGGCCCCCCACCCGAAAAAAATAATAAATAATGTTATGGACTTAAATAATGTTATGGAATCGTAAGATCCCCATTATCTGGTTGCCTCATTTATTTTCCTTAATTTTTTACTAAAAATTGCCTTATCTTTGATTCCTCGTTAATTTTTAATAATTCCAGAATGTCCTAAAATTACCAAAAGCTCGTCGTTTCGTTTTTTGCGAGTATTTCTACTCTGGTGTTGATCAACAAATATTTTTGTCAGAAAATGAATTTGCTCAATTAATGAAAGAGTCCTTTCCAAATTTAAAATGCACAAAAATGAGAAAACCGGAATGGAGAGAAGTTAGAAGACTTGTTGGAAGGCCTAGACGTTGTTCTCAAGCATTTTTGAATGAAGAAAGGGAAGCGTTGGAAGAAAAACGGTTTGGAAAATATTTTTATCTTTTCTGTTAGGGGAGAAAGGATTAAAAATTTCATTTATTTGGGAGTAGGTAAGATTTTTATAATTATTTCTGGAGGATTGGAATTATTTCTGGAATTATTTTTACATATTTTCTTGAGATTTTAACTATTTTTTGTATGGAAACTGATAACCTCGTGACTACTTATGTTAGTTTCTTTTATTGTGTTCAGTGCAATTTTTTGTAACTTTCTCATTTTTTGTTTTTCTTTTTATATTACCCCCTACCTTTTTGAGTCTCATTTTTTTCTTTAAGCTTTAAAATTTTTCTAGGTCCACTAGTGTTAATAATAGGAATCTTTCTTTAGGGGTACTATAAAGTTGTTGAAATTTTTTTGGACTTACAATCAGAAAGGGGTGGGATATAAACAAAATAACTTTTTTTATTTGAATTTTTTTTAATTTTTTCCCAATTTAAGTCAAAAAATACGTCAAATCTATGAAGGGACTTGTTCTTCAATAGATGATGATTCAATTGATTTGCCTTCATATTTACCTCGTCCACCAGTTTTGGGACAAAGAATTTATGCTTGTGTCCATAATCCAAAAGATGGGATTTATGCTGGTTCGATTGATGCTGTCTCTGCTGGGGAAGGATCTTACAGAGTTATTTTTGAAGATTCAGCAATTCCTCCGAGTGTTATTAAAGTTTGTTTTTTTGATAAAATAAGGATTTATTTTCAAATATGAGGAGGGATTTGACAAAAAATTATTTTTGGGGTTGGACAAGTTTTTTTATTTTAATGGTTATTCCCACACATTCTACATAGTTGTCCGACTAGTAAATAATTAACGGTTACAAACTTTGACTTTTTGTGGTTTTTGATTTCAACCTCTCCCATTGTTGATGGATTCAAATATCCATTTTTAAACTATTTTTTTTTGTATTTTTCGTTAAATACATAACTGACTGACAAAAAAATAAAAATTTTATAAAAATTCAAAGGCCCATTAGTGTAAGGATTTCTTTTTAAAGCCTTTGCGGAACTAAATTTTATTTTTTTTTGAATGTTCTCAAAATTTTAAACTTAATTTTTTCCAAGATTAATTGAATGACACACATTTGTTTATTCTTTTCCTTTATTATAACAAGCAATAAGTCCCTATAATTTTACATTTTTAATTTAAATATTTAAAAAATTTCTTTTTAGGATTATGAATTAATGTTTGACCAACCAGCCGATCTTTTATCAATTCAATACTTTTTGGAACAAAATCATGCCAACAGAAGTCGTTCAAGTGTAATAATAAATCCATTATCAACAACAAAATCCCCACAAAAACAGCAACAACAACAATCTTCCTCCTCTCAACAACAACAACCAATTTCTTTAGAAAAACAACAACCAATAAATTATAATCAAAATAATTTAACAAAAGTAGCAGAATATCAACAACTTTCAAAACCTACAATTACTGAAAATCAACAAATTTTGCATTCTTTGGCTAAAAATGAAAGTGAAACTAGAGATAAACCGGCAGTCAAAGCTGTTATAGGTTTTTATTTTTTGGGGGGATTTACTTGGCTGGTTGATGATAGTTGATCAATTTGTACTTGATCCGCCTGGGATGTCACAAAATCCATTTTAAAAAAAAATCCCATTTTTTAACATCTTTTTAGAAATAATTAGCTACAGTCGGAAGGGTACACCCTTCGGGCTGAAAAATTATTATTAATAATGTGATGTATCCTAAATAGTAGGTGCCATTCTAGATCAGCTTTTCCACCAACTAGTCAATTAATTTAAAAAGTGGGCCATAAATTGAGTTATACCTAAACTGTATTAAAATTTCAATAAAAAATTTTTTTAGGAAAAGAAGAAAAAGTTGGAAATTTCCCAGTTCGAATGCTTGTAATTCTTGTTAAATTATGCAAAGTTTTGGAAACCAAAAAACAATTAATTTCAAATATGATATCAATGAATGATTGTGCCGAACGGATGAATTTATTTGGAGGAAAATATCCACATGAATTTAAAGTTTATTTTTAATTTTTTTAAAATAGAACTTGAGTGATTGGGTCCCATGGGGTCCCCAAAGTTGTAGAACTTTTAGAATATTAGCAGTGTTTTTATTCCACATATGTTCTCTTTTTCAGAGCAGCAAGCGAAAACTTGGGAATTTTGAAAAAGCCAAAAAGTCATAAGTACGGGTATATGTAAGGAAGATTTTGCCAAGGGGATTGGAAAAATTCTATTATTATTAGAAGTCTAACCGAAAATTTAGAATATCTTGGCTTCTTTCGTTTCATCAGAGGTGTATCCAGGGGGTCGGTTTCGTGGGAGGGGAGGGGGCGGGTTGTAAGAAGTTTCGACCGTACTTCTTACAATTTTTTCCAGGGTCGGTTTCGGGGAGGGGGGGAGTGTAAGAAGTTTCGACCGTACTTCTTACAATTTTCCCCCCTTTACTCCATTTGGTGCACTTGGATACGCCATTAGTATCCATTAACTTTCGAGGGGAATTTCGAGTTTTGATATTAAAATGGTTTCTATTTCAATATTTCTCATTGTTTTATTAATTCTTTAAAATTTTAGATAAAATTTGCTCAAATAATTCTCGATTTGGAAACAGTAAATAAATTATTGGAATCTTATATGTCATCAATACATTTACACTATAATGCATTAATTCCTCATTTAAGCAATCCAACACCAATGGACAGACCTGAAATATTCAGAAAAACATGCAATGTTTGTTTTAAAAATTTATTTTTAATTTTTAATGGAAGAATTGTTTGTGATATTTTCGGTTCATTTCTTTTACGAAAGTCCGCTAGTTAGAGTACAGCCTAAGAAGGCGCGCGCCCATAACGGCGCAAAGTCATAACCTGCTTCAAAATTCCAAATCTTGCAAAATTTAGTATTAAACGATTCCTCTCATCGAGCTAAAGAGATTGGTACCAAAATTTACCAGGGCAAGAATTTTTCAAGGAAGTTATGGCTTTGCGCCTTTATGGCCGCGCGCCTACTTGGGCGTTCCCCCTGCTAGCTATATTTTTATGAAAAAATTTTTTCTAAAATTTTATTTTTTAAATTTAGACACATGCCTTCCAAATTGTCAAGCATTGGTATTTTTTATATTTTTTACATTTAAATGTTTTTTTTAAATTTTTAGTAATAGTGAATTAAATGTTCGCAACAAACGAATACTTCATTTAATTACTTCATTAATTTCTCTACTTTTACAGGTTTTAAAAAAATATTTTTGAAATTTATAGTTAGACAATTTGCTTTTATTGTACAAAATGGTCAGAAGCAAAATTGTAGTAATTATTAGGTTGTGTCATAAAAAATCTTGCATTGCAAAAACAGTTATAGAATTTTTTGTAGATGTAAAGCTTAAATTTTGAATATAAATTCTTTAGTGTATTTTCTAATAGAACCCAAAATTTGAAAATTTTCGATTAGGTATTTAGGGAGTTATGGTCGAAAATCTCAAAACCATCGGGGTTCGAGCCCTCTCGAGCATATGTAATTATAGTGACGATTGCAATCTATCAATTCTATAATTGTTTTTGCAATGCGACTCAACCTAGACTTAACCTAGTATTTTATGACTCAACCTAGTATAATTTCCTCAATGACCATTTTGTACATTTAACCGAATCAAAATTTTTTCAAATTTTAAAGTTTTCAAAATTATTTTTAAAAAACAGCTTCGAACAATTGGAGCGGAAAAGAAGCGTCTCAGCCCTCTAGATTCCCAAATATTTGCAGAATCATTAAAACAAATTCGGTTACACATTGCCCCTAAAAATGCGGCAGCCTTTCAAGATTATATTGAAGTACATATGAAACAAATATTGAAAATGACAAAACAATGAGAAAAAAGTGAATTTTTTGTTTTGATTAGAATTAATATTTTTTGGTTTTTTCTTAATTTTCCTGGTAAGATTTATGTTAGAATTGTTCCGAAGGTTTTAATAAAGCGAATCTTAATAGAGTATTTGTTTAAAATAATATTTTTAATTTTATTCCTAGTTCTTTTTTATTTTTTCCTAGCATCGACAAATATGCTTGTTCGAATTTTTGGAGATTTTTCTTAATGTCTTTTCAAAATAGAATTTAAGTGTTTCCATACTTTCCACCAGACAAAATAGGGGAGAAAAATTAAAAATAAATTATCAAAGTGAAGGGTGTAGGTCTTGGGGGGTGTAGGTCTTCAGGGTTGACCCCATTTCACTATATAGGTTGGGCTAATTTATTTTTTTAATTTAAACAACAAAAAACATTCGTGAGAATATTGTTAAAGTTTAAATAAAATTTTTATTTTTTCTAAGTAAACATAAAGTAAATTAAAAGTGTGGGATAATTTTAATTTTTTTAAAAATTTTCTAAAGTTATTTTACTGAAAGATTTAAAGAAACTTAAAAATAAGTTTTAGTTGTTCCAAACATTTATTTGTTCAAAACATTTTTAAAACACAAAACATCTAAATAAAACATAAAATTGTCTGAAAAACATTTGTTGTCAATAATATGTTGTCTTGTTTAATAATGTTGTTGTCTTGTTTGTAAACAAAATAAACATTAAAACATTTTCTCAAACATTAAAACATGTTTTACAATTACTAAAAACATTATTAAAAACATTGTTTTCCTAATAATTTTTAATAAAAACATCAAAACATGCTGTAAAAACAAAATGTTTATTAAACATTGTTTTCAATCAACTTAAGTTGTTCCAAACATGTTTAATAAATTGTTCATTGTTGAGTATAAACATTTTAAAGGGGCATACTTTCATTAGACGCATAGACCACTTAGGGACATGTATACTTTCATGGGACGCAGAGTTGCGTCGTAATTGAAAAATTTTTTTCGTAATCGTAATTCGTAATTTTCAAAAAAATTTCGGAATCGTAATTCGTAATTGAAAAAAATTTTTCGTAATCGTAATTCGTAACTGAAAAAATGCCGTAATTCGTAATCGTAATTCGTAATTACTACGCAACTCTGATGGTACGGATAATTTCTCACAGGAAACATTTCTGACTTCTGCTAGCATTAAATTATTTTAATAAAAACATTTCATGAGAATATTTATTGTTAAATTATAAATTTTTAAAATACAGTATTAAATAAATTTTAGTAAACATTAAGCTTAAAAAATGTGGGATAATTAATTAAAAAATATTTTTTGTTTAATTTTCTTAGAAATAAAGTTGTGCTTGTTATAAACATAAAAATTAAGTTCAAAAAAATTTTACTAGACATAAAAATTTTTTTGTAAGTAAAGAAGAAAAAAATGTTAATAGGAGAAATATATTCAACAATAATTTATTGTTTTGCTACATTTGGATTGTTTTCTAATTTGTTTTTAATTTGGCTAATTTTACGTTATACAATGAAAGAAATGCAAGTTTATAGCAAAATACTTTTACAAACTTGTTTTGTTGATATTGTTGGGATTTGTATGTTTGTTGTTTCTCAACCGGTAAATAAATAAATATTTGGGCGCGGGAATGTTTTAGCTGATTAGCCATAACCTTACTAGAAGATAACCTAGAATCTTGAAATTTTGCACGGAGATTATCTATCTTCCCATATAATTTGTGAATTATGATTAGACAATATTTTTGGCAAAACCCTGACCCGATCCCCGAACTCGATGAGCTATCATAGGATAATATTAGATTAATAAGAGTCTAAGTGTTTCATCGCCATCAGGGCTGCACGCAATTGCGGATTGCGTAAATTGGGGGGGGGGGGGGGGGTTTGCAATTGCGAGTTGCGGAATCTTTTTTTCAATTGCATGCAGCCCTAATCGCCATCCATCATTTATAACCATTTAAATCTGAATTTTTACAAGGTTTTTATATCTGATAATGGCACAGGTACGGCTTGGAATTATGGGCCCATACATTTCTTACCAAATCCATGGCAATCTATTCTTCTCCGTATTAATCATTTCATGGCAAGAGTTACCTCGATGAATGTCTGTACATTATTTATTTATCGTTATTTTACTGTTGTTCGGTAAAACTTTTTGGGAACTTTCAAAATATACTGTTTCTATGTAGGGAGGTTGAAGTTAAATTTAAGCACCAATTATTGTTAATTGCTGGTATGATAATTCCATTGATAATTTTAAATGTTTGTGCTTATATTTCAAACTATCCAAAGCCAGAAAATGAGAATTTAACTAATTATGAAGTGGCAAAAATATTAGAATTGGATAATTATACTATTGAACATTATGTTGTTGGTCTTAGAGTAAATTAATAATAACCGGAGTAAATTAATTTAAAAAATTATATTTAATATTCAGACCAACAATCTATCAATTTTTACTTCAAATTATGCTTCAGCATTAACAATAATAAATTATATAATAATTATTTTTTGTGGAATAAGTATTCAAATACGTGTTTATCGTCATTGTAAAGGTGTAGAAATGACTCAATTACGTAATATGAATAAACAAATGAGTATTGTTTTGGGGGCACAGGTAAAATTTGAAATTAAAAACTAGAGTTCGACCCCTGGCCGGCCCCGGGTTTTCCGGTCCCGGTACCCCGGAAACCGGGTATTTTGATAAAATCCGGTTTTTCGGAGTTTCCGGGTTTTTAGCCCGGAAGCCCGTCCCTGGTCGCATCTGAAATCTTCCTTAATGCCCGGCACACTGCATATACCTCTTATCTTTCCAAATCGTTCTTAATCCGATATCCTTCCAGACATCGAGGTATTTAATTTATGTAATCCTCAAGAATTACATAAATCGCTCCAGACGCCTACTTATCTAGATCCCTTTAACCCCTCCAAATCCACCGATAGCCTACTTAATCCCGTAAATCCCTTGATACTCTGATAACGTTTCAAATCCTCCAGTATACAGGATGCAGGTATTTAGGGATGACCTCAAATTTTGATAAATTTCAGAAAAAAGCTAAATTTTAAGAATTTTTCAAATTTTAAAAAACCGGGTCCAGGCCCGGGTTTTCGTGGTTTCCTGGTTTTCGGGGTTTTAGCCCGGAAAACCGGCCCGTGTCTGAATCGAAGAAAAAACCCGAATACCGGGCCCGGCAAATTGAAAATGTCTAACTGTATTAAAAACCCTAAAAATCCATTTCCTCATACCCTACCTTCAATAATTATATCAACTTTAGGCTATTCTTCCTTTATTAACCTACCTCTCCAATTTATTCTCAAACCTAAATTTATTATTTAATTTGCCTGGTTCATATTCTTCGTCTATTGCGATATTCTTTACTTCTGGTTTGGGATCCTTAGTTGCTGTTTTAAACCCTATTGTGAGCTTAATTATATTTTTTAAATTAAAGAAAATAAATTTAAAAAAGGTAACAATTTTGAGTGTAAGAAATTACAGACAAATAATTTTTCGATGCAAAAATAATTCAAATATTAATCAAGTTGCTCCAATGCCGGAAACTTCAATGCCGGAAAGAACTATACAATATATTAGATAATCAACTAGTAAAAAAACAAGATAACTTGACTAATAACGAACTCATGTACATAACGATTGAGGAACCTTAAAGTTATCCTTTTGGGAGTTTCGAGCATTTTTAAGCTTAAGTGTACATACGTCAAACAAATATTATTAGGTCGGGTCATAATTAGTGTCGCTTTTTTTCGGTTAAATTTTTAGGGGTGTTATTTTACAAATATTATTTTTTCTTACTAACCTACATAAAGATCTGAATCTACTCTTTATTTTAAAACCAGGTTTAGGTATATATCTGTGATTTTCATAAAGTTATGATTTTTTTAACTTCGCTACCTCGTAGTGAAATTCTCAAGCATTTGCACCATGAATTATAAATTACCAAAAATGAAACATGAGACACAAAAAATCTTAATCATCTAGTCAATGGGATCGTTGTCTTTGCTAGACAGCAAAGAATAGGATTCAAACTTTACTAGGAAGGCCGTATGACTCTCATAAGCAAACATGGTCGAGGGAGAAGGCTGTCATTAAGAAAACGGTCCTGCTCGGCCGGCTTAGATGGAATCCGGTAATTTCTACTGCTTAATTATCGAGGGATATCTGCTCTGCACGTATGGCCACGGGTGACTGAAAAAACGCGTGCTGCGTTTAAGGAGAGCAAATCAAATGCCGCGTGTACAAACATCTCAAAAATGAAACAAACGACACGACATCCCCCCAAAAAACGTTTTCTTATATCTCAGCGTAAAATCATCCGATCTGTATGATCTAAACGGTTTTTTAAATAACATATAGGGCTTATACTAAATCCGAAATATAAAGTCTGTAAATCGTGTTGAACCCCGGAATTCGAATTTCGACTTTTTCGAAAATTTAGACCTTTTTTAATAAAAATTCGAAATTGTGCTCCACTGATAGAGCTTTTGAAGAGCTTTCGAATGATATATTACACTAACTATTATCATCACATATACCTGAGAAAATTCGATTTCCGGTGATTTCGTGAATTTTGATATTTTTGATCAGAACTCCCTGAATACCTAACCAAAAATTCTGAAATACTGAGATCCTTTAGAACATAGTCTAACAAATGATTCGAAATAAAAATAAAAAAATTTTTCTGAAAACTTAATTTAAAAACTCCAAAAAATCCAAATTAAAAAAGCGACACTAATTATGACCCGACCTAATATTTTTTATAAACTTAAGCCACTGACTTTTTTATAGCAAATTTTATGGGCTTTAAACAACCCAAAAGAAGAATTATATAAGCTATAGGGGGGTTAAAATATTTTTTCAAGTACTATACCCCCATTTCCTGTTGATTCTTGAGATCCCGATGAAATCTAAAAACTTAGCTCTCTTTTATTTCCTACTCTATATCAATGGAGATGCTCATATAATTTTTTATTTGCTTGTTAGTAATTGTTTAAGCATTTTTTGTAAAGTTTAATAAACTGTCTAGGTTTTTTGGAACACCCCGTTTTTTGAAAATTTTTCATAATAAAATTATTGGTTTTCAAAATTTTTTTGTAAATTAAGGTAGTTTTTGCTGCTGTATAAATATATAAAAATATTATGAATAATAAAAAATCATGTCGACATATCCAAAAAATCTGGGGGTGTCCAAGTATTTTGGAAGGACATTATTAGGAAAAAATGTCGAAGAGTCCCAAAAATGTGATTTTTTAAATTTTGTTGGCCAACATAACAAAAATTATTTTTATTCATTAAATTAAGTATGACTAAATATTAAGTAGTTAGGCAGTTTTGAAAACTTGGCACAATGAAAATTTTAAATGAATCGAATAAAGGTATATGCGTCTGATAAATAAAATTCATTAAGTCTATGCACCGCCAGCCTTGTTTAATCTCAGACGCCTTAGTTATTTCAACTCCTTGAGAAGTATTAGAACACTAACTAGGGCGTCCGGACTGAACGAAATTATAGCTCAACGATACTATGACCCTGGGGTATATCGGGAGTGCACTTTTTGATTGAAAAACATTTTTGGTCGAGAATAAAATTTTGGCCCTAATTAAAGAAGAGGTGGTTCTCTAATCTTAATAACTAGTATAATCAAGTAATCTTAATCTGTGCAGGGTAGAGGTATCGAAATCTGAAAAGAGGCTATTCGAAGTTTTCCCCATATCCACTAACTTTAATTTAGAGGGCTTTCAAAAAGGGTTCTATTTTTTCTCTCGTAAAAGAGAACCACCCCCCCCTTTCTCCTTCAAGACAGGCCAAAACTGTCATAAAAATAAATGCTATCTCTGTTCATCTCCGACTATAATTTTAATTATTCTAAACGGAAGACATATGATAAGATGCTGAAGTTCTTGGTTGTTGTTGGTCATATTGATATACAGTCGTTTGTGTTATTGGACCCTAAAAGAATTTTTTTGATTTTTAAAAATTTATTTGAGTTTAGGTATATTTCAAGGCTTGCTTTCATAATAGAGAAAAATTAATGTTTATGGTAATACTTCGGCTGACGCCCCCCCTTTTTTTCTGTTTCCCTGACCATTTTGAGCTTTTTTTGCTTGACATATAATTTACAAGAATTCGAAAGAGCTGTTCGAGCTGGGTATAATGATGCAAATATCGGTTAGCTTGGCTATTCTGAACAAAATCGTAAGCTAAATCCTCGATGGACATGCTTTTTGTGATGTTGAAAGGGATAAAAACAAATGCTCATAACATGTTGATTTAAGTCGGATTTCGATGATTCTAGTGACGTTCGACTCAGCTCGAAGAGCTCTTTCGTATGGATATAATTTTCCATAGAAAACGAAAAAAATAGAACAGAAAAAGGGGTAGGGGGGGGGGTGCGTCAGCTGAAGTATTACCAGTTTTTGTTACTCTCAACCCTACTAAGATTTACTTATAAAATTACTTGTTGCTGAAAGTAGTCAGGTTGCAATTCCTGAACAACTGGGAATTGTTGAGGACTGGGATAACTGCAAAAATGAGACTTTTGTTTTTTTAAAAATTTTCCGAATTTTAATGTATATTTCAACCTTCCCATTTGTTGTCCCTGACTAGTTGGAACCATTCCCTCCATTGTTTGAGAACTAATTCCTTCAAAATGAGGTGAATATTGTTGTTGTTGTTGGGGAAATGCTTGTGTTTGTTGTCTTTGATGTGAAGGCCATTCCTCAAATCGACTACTTCGAACTGTACTCCTTGCGGAGGGATATCGACTAAATCCGGCAGTTCCTTTTTTGTTGTTTCGCATCTAATTTTGAAAGTTTATAACTTTGAGATAACGGTAGTCTAAGAGTCAATAGTAAGTCTATCGGTTTCACCAGATTTTTAGGTTAACCGAAACCGAACAGAAAATCTTTGGGGTTTCGGTTCGGTTTAAAACCGACAACCCATGTCAATAGCCAATATTAGTTCGTTCAGATCACTTTTTTCCTTGTCTCAGATTCCGTGATTTTATCAAAGGCAAAAAGGATTAACTAAAAGACCGGATCGGCATGGGCCATGACCAGTGGTTTTCGGGACTGACTCTGATATCAGATGAAAACTAGCGTTTCGGGATTTAAGGGTTATAGCCCTGAACCTAACTCTAGTCTAGCTAGAAGTGAAAAGAAAAAACTCTGAATAAGAGAACGAAAATTTTTTCCAGCAAAGTACGAAACTTACATTAACAACACAAATAAAATATATTGCACCAACAACAAGTGCTAGCAGTGCCATACCAGCCAGAAGGATTAGAAATATTATTGCCACCTTGGAAAGGGTTTATGAATTTAATTTTGGAGTTGTTAAATAAAAAGGCCGTTTAAAATTAGTCACTTTCAACAATTATTCCTTCAATTTTGTGGTTAACTAATGAGGGGGGGGGGGGGTAATTAATGGAGTAAATACTGTAAAACTTCTAAAATGTGACGTAAATAAATAATATTTATTGGTTTAAAAATTTGTTAAATTTTTATTTAATCTTTAAGGGGAATTTTAATAAAGCCCCAATGATAAGCCATTCAATCAATGAATTATTTCTTAACAATCAATAAAACTACCTGATAATCATAATATTTTGTTGCGTAGGCCATAACTTTTTTTGTTTTTAAACTTTAAAAATTAGTAAAAATATCGGCTTCTTTTTAATTTTTATTTAAAGAAAAGAGGAAGAATGATTCAAAAAATACAAGAAAGAAAAAGCAAAGAAAAAACCCAAGATAAAATGCAAAATGAGGCAAAATAAATGGAAAAAATGACAAATATTTTTATTGACCAAAAATCGATTGGAGCGAGGCCAAGAAAAAATAATTTTTTTTATTTGTTTTCGATTACCTTCACATTTTTCGGGGCTTTTGCAATTTTAAAGCCCCGTTTATTTAACTTAAAGTACTCCCTTAGTTTTAACTAAAAGTGAGTGATAGAGTGTATGGTAAAAGAAGAGAGACTCTTTTACGGGTGAGGATGTTTCGACGCGAAGGTGGTTTGGCGTAAACATTGTCTAACATTCAAAAACATCAAACAAAAACACAAACATCAAACATTAATTATCAACATTGAAACATCAACATTGTTAAACAACATCAACAAACATTAACATTTATCAAACAAACATTGTCATTTGTCAAACATTGTCATTTGTCAAACATTGTTAATACAACAAACATCAACACATCAAACAAACATTCAAACATTGTCAATGTTTGAAACATCAAACATTCATTAACATCAACAAAATCAAACATCGGCAATTTTAAACATTGTCAAACCTCGAATTTAGACACCTCTAAAATTAAATAGACCTCAACTTAAGTTACCTTTTTTAACGTCTAATTCAAATGTCTAACTCCTCTAAAAATTTCAAAAATCTCGATTAAATAATTCGAAAGTTATGGTCGAAAAGGTCAAAATTTAACGAGAAAATACTTTCCCTTAAAGATTTCTTCTCCATAATTTTTTAAATATGGGACCAAAAATTCTGAAATTTTTAGAGAAAATAAGTAACGATAAAGGGAATATTTGAACAGAATTTCAGAATTTTAGGATCCCTATTAAGAGCAATATCCAAATCCGCGCCCAAATTTGCTGCGCCTAACTGGCGTACAACCATCTTTCTATCCGTGCTTGTCCCCCAAAATTCACAAGACATGAAGTACAAATATTAACTTTAATTTTATTGTTTTACATGATAATTTTGTGTGAATGACCAACTAATTACTTGACAAAAATTTTATTTTTAAAGTTAATCTTTTAATTTACAAATTAAGTAGCTAAAAAATAATTGAAAAATTGAGGGGATGAAGAATAGATCTAAAAAAATTCTTTTCATATTTTTACTTTAAGGATAAAATAATTTTGATTAAAATGTGATTTGAATTGTTTCTCTCTCTTATCCAACTAATTTCCCTTTCAATGGGTATTTTAGATTTTATGAACATTTCTTATTTTGTTGTTTCGTTCGGAGCAGTTCATCTCAGTCTGGACAGTTTCAGTCTGCACGGTTCAGTCTCCCTTGTATATACCTCAATTCAGTCTCCCATCGATTTAATTTTAAAAATTCCAATTCCTGCATTACAGGGCTGGGCTAATTTCGCATTTCGCACATTTCACATTTTTCAGCGCGAAAAGTTTCGCATTCCGCATTTTAATTTAAGATTGTGCCCAGCCCTGATAGGAGTTTCAACTGAGTAGACACTCGTAATCCCCAGATTCACTTATATCCCTCTTAATCCCCCAAATCATCAGTACCCATTTTAATCTCTCTAACTCATTTGATATATTAATCCATCTTTATCAACTAAATCACCTTATATCCCCAAAATCCACCGATATCCTTCTTGGTGTCCCTCATCAACCCTTCTTTTTATCACTAACATTTAATTGTCGCAATATTTACTTAATTTTATACTAATTTGCATAATTCTTGTAAGATTTTTATAAAGAATTTTTTAAAAATCCGGATCCGGGTCCAAAAAATCGGGATTTCCGGATTTTCGTGGGTTTGATCCCGAAAATACAGTCCGGATAAAAAAATTTTTAATTCCGAAACCGGACCCGGCATTTTCCAAACTTTAAACTCTAGATTCTCTTATATATTGTATTATCCTTGATTATCTAATATATTGTATAGTTCCTTCCGGCATTGTGGGTTCAGGCATCGGAGCAACTTGATTAATATTTGAATTATTTTTGCATCGAAAAATTATTTGTCTGTAATTTCTTACACTCAAAATTGTTACCTTTTAAATTTATTTTTTTAAGTTTAAAGAAAATAAATAATCATACAATAGGATTTAAAAAAGCAACTAACGATCCCAAACTAGAACTAAAGTATATCGCAATAGACGAAGAAAGTAAACCAGGCAAATTAAATAAAACATTTAAATTGGAGAATAAACTGGAGAGGTAAGGTAATAGAGGAAGAATAGCCTAAAATTGTTAAAATAAATTATTGAAGGTAGGGATATGAGAAAATGGATTTTCAGTGTTTTTAATTTCAAATCTACCTGTGCCCCCAAAACAATACTTATTTGTTTATTCATATTACGTAATTGAGTCATTTCTACACCTTTACAATGACGATAAACTCGAATTTGAATACTTATTCCACAAAAAATAATTATTATATAATTAATTATTGTTAATGCTGAAGCATAATTTGAAGTAAAAATTGATAGGTCGTTGGTCTGTAATAATGTTGGCGGTTCCTGGATAATCTTCGGTTATCCGGAACCGAAACCGAAATTTTTATTTTCAAAATTTTTGTCTGCGGCGCTGAAAAGTTGAGTCCCATGGAAGGATATAGAGAGATTAGGAGGAATTATGAATGGATTTGAGGATTAACAGAGTTATCGAGGGAATTTAGGATTAACAGAGCTATCTAGGTGCAATAAATGCGTGGATCAAAGAATTTACCTGAAATTCAAAGAATTTCGAAGAGTTTATCCGGTGGAGAATCAATGGACTATATTGTTTCAGAGGGGTGGACTATCCGGGTGGAAAATCAATGTAATATATTATTTAAGAGGATTTGTATGGATTAAGGGGATATCGAGTGATATCAAAGGATTAATAGGGATAACTGGGAGATTTAATGAATTATGAGGGATGTAGGTGGATTAGGAGATTATTGAGGAAGGAGTATATCGAGGTATAAAGAGGAGGTGGATTAAGAGGGATAAACAGGGATATTAGCGATTTGGGGGACTTGGGTGATTGAGTGATTGTAATGGGTGTGAGTGACTTCTTTTTCCAACGCCACAGGCGAAAATTTTAAGATTTTTAAGCCATGATTGTTTTCGTTTTCAGCGCCGCAGGCGAAAATTTTGAGAACTTTGGAAGACTAGGCTGCTAATTTCTTCCTTTTCCAGCGCCGCAGGCGAAAATTTTGAGAATTTTGAAGATTTTTAAGCCAGGATTGTTTCCTTTTTCAGCACCGCAGGCAAAAATTTTGAGAAATTTGGAAGGCTAAAAGGCTAGATTTCTTCCATTTTTCCTCATTTTAGGAACCGAACCGAAAATTTCGGTTATCCGGTCTTTTTTCGGTTCCGGATAACCGGAACCGCCAACCTTAGTCTGTAAATATTAATTTTTTAAATAAAAATTAAAGTTCTTTTAGAGCTTTTCATTTCCCCAGTTCAGAAATCTTCCGGGGAACGTGGGGAGTTTTCCTTAGTTCAAATTTCAAGCCTTCAGAGACTTTTCGTGTCTAGTCTCGTATTTTTAACTCAATCAGGGATTATCTTACTCTCGATCTAAGCCCAACAACATAATTTTCGATTGTATAATTATCCAATTCTAATATTTTTGCCACTTCATAATTAGTTAAATATTCGTTTTCTGGCGTTGGTTGGTTTGATATAAATGCAAAAATATTTAATATAAATATTGGAATTGTCATTCCAACAAGTAATAATAATTGATGCTTAAATTTAACATCAACTCCTCTAAATAAAAAAGTATTTCCAAAAAATCTTTTCAAAAAGTTTTACCGAACAACAGCAAAATAACGATAAATAAATAATGTACAGACATTCATTGAGGTAACTCTTGACATAAAATAATTGAAACATAAAAGTATACATTGCCAAGGATTTGGTAAGAAATGATTAGGTCCGTAATTCCAAACTGTACCAACACCATTATCAGAAATATAAACCTACATATTTAGGTGATAAAATTAAATAGTCAATCACGCCAAAACTTTCCCGCGCCCAAATATTTATTTACCGGTTGAGAAACAACAAACATACAAATCCCAACAATATCAAC